GTTCGAGTTGGTGATGACGATTTAGCCAAATCTAAATTCGTTGTTTCTAATGAATTTATTAACCAATGATTTGATTCAACTGTAACTTCTGTTGAAAACAGAAAGATTGATTTAAAGGTATCTACAGGGTTTGCTTCTTTATCTTTTTCCATTGATCTAATGCTGAAATTAGTAGAAACAAAGGTGTTTTAGATGGTTGGGAAATAGGTTTGTTATCTCTGTACTTTGTCACTTGAAAATTTTTCTTTTGGCCCAATTGTACTCTGGCCCACATTAAAGAGTCCATCCTCTTTTACTATTCATTTTTTGACTAGGTTGAAGTTTTCTTCTATTTTGATGTTTAACCAGTTTGGATTTTGAAAGAAAAGCAATAGGACACATGTATTTACTTTCAACTTTTTCCAATTATGAGCCTAATTAATTGAGCGTTGTTGATGTTTGTGAATTTTTACTATGGGCCCAATTTATTATCTCTCTACTTTCATTGTATGTATGCAATGTATATCTATGTATTTACTATCTCTATGTTTTAGTCATTTTCATTTATTCTCCATTCTCGAACAAAAATGAAACCCTAGAAAATTGTCTTTTTCTGCTTTTCTCTTTCGTTGATAAATTTGCAGATTAACGTGGTATTAAAGTCGTGTTTTTTTTATTTCTCTATTTTATTTTTTTTCTTTTTTTTCTTTTATTGCATTTTTCTATTTTTCGCTTTTTCTTTTCAGTTTCTTATTCTATCTCTGCTCGGCTTTTGTTGATTTTCTTTAGATTTCGTGTTATGAAGTTTACGGAGTGAGGTTAAAAGTTTTTTTTTTTCATCTTTTCTCTATAAATCTAATTTTCTTCTATAATTTTTACTTACCTTTTCCATGAAAATTGTTATCTTATTCATGTTCTAAAGTTTTTGTACCTTTTTCACTTCTCTTAAGTTCTCAAGTTGGAAATTTTGGAAGTTGTATGCTTTTTTTTAGGGGTTTAAATTTGTGTGCATAGTTATTTTTTTTATTTTTTGGTCTTCTTTTAGATTTAAAATATTTGAATCTATGGTTAATATGTTCTTTTGGCTTGCTGCTGGATTGGGTTTTGAGAACAAAGTAGATTAGATAAACTAATTTGGTTTTGGAATTAAGTTCTATGATTCAATTGATACAAAAAAAAGAAAGTTGAGTTTTTGAAGGAAAAATGAAGTTTTAATTCAGGGAGTTTTGTGCATTTTTATTTTGAATTTAGTAGATTTTGTGTCTCCAGCTAGACACTATGCTTTTAAAAATTTGAAGTTTGGTCATGGCTTGCCAATTTTTTTGGAAAATCTAGCATGTCGTCTACATTGAACCAATTCAATGACTGAAGGCTATGGTAAAGTCAATCTGGAGTTTGGGCATGGTCAATTTAAATGAAGTTTGGGAGTTTAGTATGATATTTATTTTTTATTTTTGTCTTCTTTTAAATTTAAAATTCTTCAATCTATGGTTGATATGTTGTTCTTTTTCATTTTTATAGAAGTTAGTTTTACCAGTTCAATTTTATGTTTGTTGATTGATTTTTTGCAAGGTCTAAATGATAGCTAGTCATTTATTCGTCAAATATGTAATTAATTCTTATATTATTTAATTGCATTTCCTAGAAAAAGAAGTTATCTATTTTATAATTACAATTTCAATTTTCATTCATTTTTAAGAAAAGTAATATTTCAGCATACTCAGGCATAAAATTGCATAATCTAATTGACATTGTAAAAACTTGAAGCTAATAGTATGAAACTGTTGATGCTTATTCTTATTAGATTTCTTGACCTCCTAGAGCATCTAGAATCATTTGGATAGGGATTTTGGCAACAAAACTCGTGTACTTTAGAAGTCTTGAATTAATATGACATCTTTTCTTTTCTTCTTGTCACTATGATTAAAAACAAAACTCTTGTTTACTTTAGAAGTTTTGGATTAATATGACGTCTTTTGTTTTGTTCATGTCACTAGGATCAAAACTTCTAGGCCTTTCAAAAGTAGGTTTTTTTTTTTTTTTTTAATAATGGTTTTTGCATAGAATTATGCATTATTATAACATGTCTACAGTTCCATTATGTTTCTATTGCTTTTCGGATTTTTTTTTTTAATCTCATTCTCCATCATCAACTATAGTTAATCATTCTGTTGCTATAATGGGAATTTCAAAATTATTTGCTGAAGTTGACCTTGGTTCTATTTATCTTGAAACTTTTTCTGAAACTCAAAAAAAAAACTTATGTAACTCTTCCATACGCCAAAAAGAAACTCAAATAAAAAGGGATAGGCGAGGCCAACTCAAACTTTTTGTGTTGATCGTCGTAAGAGGATAAATGAGCCTATGTTATCTAAAAATAATCATCATGTTTTTCCTCTACTTGATAAGCCTATAATTTATGAACAATCTGACTTTTATACTTCAGAGAAAGAACAGATAAATTTCCCGACTTTCAACACCAACAAAATAATAACGTACTTCATTACCATCTAATGCATATATATTGCCACCAAGTATTTATTGTAGGCATTGTAATGCATGGAAATTCTATAGAGAAAGTAAAGGATGTTGTGAATACAAATATTACGAAAAGTGACTGAATCATACTAACATATGAAATTTAGATTCAGCATTAAAAAATGGACTCATGTAGCATGCTTCATCCTAAACATCATAATTATGTTAATAGTATTATCATCTATCAAACATGTTTCATATCATTAGTATATTCAACAATTCCATTCATACCTTAATATCATAAATAACTTACCTCATTTTATTACCTTTTCAACAAATTGATTTCTTCTTTAATCACTGAACAAATACTAACATTAAAAACGCTAACATCACGTTCAAGATAATCTAACCCTTGCATTGCACGGGCGGCAAACTAGTACTCTAAAAAGTAGGGATTTTTGAAAAAATATTATACACAGAAATTTTAATATAAATATTGTTAAATATAAGTAAAAGACGTCACGCTATTCTTCTTCAACTCTCCATCAAATTCAAAATTGATTCATTTCAAGCAGGTTCTTCTTCAATTTTGACAAAATTCAAAAGTTGCATATCTATTTTCTGGTATTTTAATTTAAAAAAAAACTTTATGAATTTTTATTTATCACATTATAAGTTTCAAGTGAAAATTGTAAGATTTTCCATAATAATGTCATCCCTGAATTTCATTCTCCAATCGTCATTACAAGTTAATTTTTTTTAGATAAATTACCAGCACAATCTACTTTGTAAAAGCTATTACAATTTTAATATGAATTTGAGATTTTGAGGTTTATGTTAGTGTATGTGAAAATTCTATTTTGGATCAATGGTAGTGAGTATATATGAAAATTCAACTTTGAAGCAATCGAAGAGATACATACAAGGTGTATATAAAATATATAAATATGATTATGAATTAAAGTTTTACATAAAAAGTGACATACTGTGATACTTTTTAAAAAGAAGAAAAGTTTTAAAATCAAAATAATTACAATTGGCAATACTACAAAACCTTTTTCATTGTTAAATATGCATATATCAAAGGCAAACTCGCCCCCGGGGCATATTCCAGTGGTGCAAAGGACAAAGGTAATATATACTCAGCCTTGCTGGCAACTGCAGTATGAGGGTTCGATTCCTGAAACATGGATTGAGACGCTTTGTGGGCATAAGTGTACAGGTAACTCTTGTTCCTTAACCTATTGGGACACATCCCGCGATTAACCTTTCTCACGATACTCTAGGGGCAAGGCGGTGGGAGACTCTTAAAGTTGGGGTTCAACCTTTTTTTATATCAAAGGCGAACTCAAATCTTGAATCACATGTCAGTATACCAACGGTTACAAAATTGAAATATTTTAATATTTTTCTAAACGTAATACAATAACACATACGTTACCTAAACACATTATAGGTATAATTGTTGGTTTTTGATGAGAAATTGGAATAATGGATTTTAAAAATAAAAATGCTTTATATTTAAAAATATGAAGTAAATGTAAAAAGTTGATTTAATTAGTGGATATTTTCTAAAAAAATCTAAAATTAGGTATTTTTATTTTTTTTAGAGAAAATATGGATTGGTGGAAAACATTTGATTTCCTATTTTATTCTCATATTTATTTACCACCTTCATCAATAATGCCCTTAATCCATCCACTTAGCCCTATTTGAGCCACGTTCTTTAAAAATTATTTTTTCCCTCAAACTTTCAACTACACATTTTTCAAAAAATCATTATTACAAAGTCTATTTCTCTTAAAAAATTGGGCTCAAACAAACCTTTGGGTCCAAATATAATTATGGAACCGTTCGGGTTCGGTTCCATTCGGTTCGGTTCGGATCGGTTCGGTTCCGTTCGGTTCTGTACTATAATTAAATTTTTTAACATTTATAACAACGTTATATAAATACGACTAATGATACATTCAATAGTTTTGGAATGTCAGAGATTAGTAAACTATTTTGTTCAAATAATCGCTACGATCAAAGTTTCAGTCGGGGAAAGTCACGGCTTCGATCGGAGGTCAGAGTGTCGGCCGACGATTGTATAGGTTTTGGAATATTAGATAGGCTGCGAGAGTCGAGACAACGTTATGCACTTTATTGTAGGTGTTTAGGATTATTTAGTATATTTGATCTTGTTTGGCTAAGAAATGAAATAATAAAATGAGTAATTGGGCCAAAAATTAAAAAATTAGAAATGAAACAAATTATTGGGCCAAAAATTTGGATTTAGAAATCATTAATTTGTTAATTTGTTTAGAAAAAATTAAAATTAAAATAATTTGATTTAATCAATATAAAAAAAAAGAAAGATTCGGTTCTTATTCGGTTCTTCGGTTCTTGGTCTAGAACCGAGAACCGAACCGTACCCGTCGGTTCTCAATTCAGATACCCGTTCGGGTATTTAATTTGACAAAAACCGTCGGGTTCGGATCGGTTCGGATCGGGTTCGGTTCGGTCGGTTCGGTTCGGGAGATTTGTCCAGCCCTAGTTTTCACGCTCACAATTAAGATGGTAATCAAGATTTTACAAAGAAATTTTCTTTTAGAAATTACCAGTTCCACCCGATAAAAAGCTGCATTCTTTTAGAGTATAATATTTAATTACAGCATTAATTAGTTCAATTGTTTAAGAAGAAGGAGGTGTACTATGATTTATGAACACCGTCCATTGCCGCCGTCAAATGGCAAGCATAAGCTCCGGCAATGAGCGTTTGCCAACGGCTTTAGGGTGGCTTTCCCACAACAGAATTGAACTCAAACAGCTTCTAAAATCTGTGACAGTCAGCCAAGTATTGAAATATTCTCTAAACTGAGTAATTAAGCCATCTTTTAAAGACCAAACATGCACCCAGTAAATCTGGGCTCCTTCCCACCCTTCCACAATTACACAGTCATCAATAGCGTCAATGCGACGAGGCTCAAACTTGAATGCCGTCGGAGACGATATTCCGGTCAGCATTTTCATCATATAGTGACAGTTTTGTGGGCCGTGGAACCACCATTCTAGGTCACTAGCAACAACTCCGGCAACAGTGGTGACATCGCCGATTGCTACTGCTTTGTAAAGGGCATTGACTGTTGCCTTGTTCTGATTTTCCGGCCCCGGCGGATCGACATTCTTGGCATCCATTTGAGACGAAATTTATCAGAAAGAATGGCAAGTTTTTCTTGCATGGTAAAGGCCAAGAGGGAAGCATTTTATATCGAAACTTCCAAGAGAGTAGGGACCCCTAATATAAATTGTAAAATGACATAAAATGGCTTTTAAATATTAATTTAATAATATGTGGTCTGCTTTCTGCTTTCATACTGTTAGGCAACGTACGTCAATCATCTGAAAAAATAGTTAGCACCGGTACCAAATAACCCTATGATTCAATCAGTTCCATTTTCAAGGTGAAAGATTGCTAATTTTAATCAATTTTAAAATGTTTTCTTTCATAGATGTCCAATTCAAATTATACCGTCGGGCAAAATTATAAAGTTCATTCATTACATTGCTAATCATTGTAGAAATCCTCTCTTTCACACATAATGCAAACTAACGTACATATATTACATGCATGTATATATTGTAAATCAATATATATCTATGTGCATTATGTCAAATAAATAAAGGGTAAATGAATAATTCTTTTTTTCATTTTTGGATAGTTTCAAAATGTGCTACCAGACGAAGCTCATTGTACAATCATTGGAGCATTAAAGAATTCCAGTTGGATCCAACCTGGAGCCACTCGTGTACAGTGTTTAGACATTCTCTAAACCAGCTAAGAAACAAGACATTATTATCTGAGTGTACAATGAATTGAATGTTGAAAATCAAAGCCATATGGACGTGAAGTGGGCATAAGGGAGAGAACAATTATGAAGGAGCCCTACAATGAGATGTACATGCATATATATGACACTTCTTGTTGTTTGGGCTCCATTATTTTAAATTATAATGAAATAAATAGTAATTTTTTAAAGAATGTGTGATTAGAAAGGAAGGAAAAAATTTTAGATTTAGGTATAATATTATTTTATTGAAAAATGTGTGGTTGATAAGAAGAGATAGGGAAATAATTTTTAATTCATTGGGGCCAAACAATGTAAAAATCTTAGCGCGTTTGATTGCGAGCAAGGAATTTGCATGGAAAGAAATATCGGAATATGTTTGATTGATTTAGTTTTTAACTTAAAAAATATTATACTTGTTTATTTTTTATTGGTGGGATGAGAGAGATGAGATAGATTTTATTGGGGGTAGATGGGAGAAAGAAATAGTAAATTACCTGAAAAATAAAAGTCAAATTTCCTTAAAAAAAATATTTTTCTTGTTTTTGAAGAAAATATGATCACGTAACCAAAAATTGAAAAATATTTTTTATGGAAAAAATTGTCAATCAAACACATCAAAAATAAGAATTTGGAAGGAAAATTGATATTTTTCATGAAAAATAAAGTCAATCAAATACACTATTTTATTTTTGTTTTAACCAATACTTCAACTTGATAAGCATGAACATTCTTGATTCTCCCCCGTAAGAAATGAAGTTCAAACTGCAGGAAACTTGAGAGATTTTCTACTAAAAAATTTAGGTCTACTCATTCATCACCAACAACAGCCACGAGAACACCAAAAATGAAATTAATTTCAGTTCAGTCCTTTTCAATACCAATAGTGATGAGGGTCCGAGGTATTCAATTATTAGGTAATCGGCTCTCATATGGGCCTATTCGATATAATTTATTTGGAAATAATGAATTATTGAATAGTATTTTTTGGAGAATGTATAGTTAAAAAGTAAGAAAATTTTATTGGCTTATATGTATAATATTTTATTATGTGAATGTGTGGTGAAAAATGATTCTGTAGCAAACAATTTAAATTTAATATATATATATAAGGAAAGTAGTCGGAAAAAGACTACAATACCATTGTTTTCATTAGATGATTATTTTCAGTGATCATCATCCAAAAATGAAGAACAAGTTTCTTTATCTACTCAAAATACTACCATTTCAACCTCGGTATTCAAAAAATCTATCCAAACCAAAAATACTCCAGAACAAACAACACCTTCACCTTCAAATTTTAAACAAGCAATTCAAGGTTCTAAAAAACTACCTAGAATAAACCCTCCAAATACATTTCAATATTTCCTCAAATCAATCTATATTCCATTCAAAAATACTTGTACCGTCAAATGAAACGATTATTTTGAAAATCATGAGTATGTTGAGAATCATAAGCAAGAATTTTTGAAAATCGATTATTTTGCCCCCGTAACTTATTGATATGGAAAACTTCATCATATATATTTATAGGTCAAAGTAAGCACACGCGTATACCGATTCTTAATTGGAGCATTCAATGGTAAATGCTCTTCAATAGATATTAAGTTGTAGGGTCCAATTATAAAGATCAAAAAATAACTCGATATCTTTTACTATCTATTATATGGGTATTAAAGTGAGGATAGATTTATGAATGGAAATTTAGCAATTGGTATGTATAAATAGACAGAAGAGAGCATTTAATATTTGTGAATATTTCTTCCAATTGGGGTAAATAAGATTTTAGTTGGTTTGGTTGTTCTACAAAAGTAATAATGCAGAGAGATTGGATAAAAAAAAAATGGAGATTTTTTTTTGTCATAATTGTCAATTATCTTAAGAGCCACGGAGCGTGGATATGAGCAAGCTGATAAGATTAGTCAAACTTAATACAAGACTTACTCTCTGACAATGACACCATCAACCAGTCACACACAACAATTCGATAACATAGAGGTTCTGTTGGATTTTTTGATACCCAATAATCCTGGGCGATGATGTTAAACAGTGTCGGATAGTCGGATTAGATTTCATAGACTTCGGCCGATGATTGAAATATTTATTAACACACTCGATTAAGTAGCTCAACCCGAAAAATAACTTGAGGGTCGTTTGAAGTAACTTAATATAGTTAATATTGCTCACGGCCCATTTACTTCTTGGATTGCTCAATTTGTGTTCCCCCCTTTGAACCATTAGTTGGTCCATGAGCCCATTATATTATTATACCCTAAACCTATATATTGCTCTCATTTGTGAAGGTGCCGTGTGTGTGCAATTGAAAAGAGGCAGCCTACATTTTTTCTAGTTTTCTCTCTTGAGTGAAAAATTGAATCTGTCTTCCTCTATTCTTTGTGATTCATTGCAGGTACCATATTGTGTTCTTTGTGAACACATTGAGTTGAGCAACCGAAGTAAGAATCGTTGTTTGGGTTGGAGCCTTTGTTGGGTGTGTTTAATAAGATAGAGATTGGTTAAACTGAGCCCGAAAAATTCATCATTAGAGGTCGATTATTCAACATTTGGTATCAAAGCGAGGTTGGGGTGGAATTTCTGGCCAAAATCTGACCAGAAATCGGCAGAAATCAGAAAATAAAAACTGTCCAGAATTTTTTTTCCAAAAACTGGATCTGCAACTTCAATTTTCGAAGAATCCAGACGTCTTTTGGTGAAATGGAGGCCGGATTCGTGATCTGCAGGTGGAGGCGGTGCTGGGTGGCCGGCGCATCTGGGTGACGGCAGCCGACGACGGCGGCGCGTGGCTTCTCCGACGGTGGAGCGTGTGGGCGCGTGCAGCCGTTTCTAGGGAAGCTTTCTTCAGGCAATTTGTTCCTCATATTATTTCTAACATTTTTCGTGTTGGACGTTTTCTATTTCAAGTTACATAGAAAAGTTGGACGATTTTGCCCCCAGCAGCAGATTCACATATCTCTCGATTATACGGACTCAGACACATCCGCTTTTGTAAATTGGCTTAACCCGTTAATTTCAGTATTAGCGCGTCACCGTGTGGGGTGACAATAGGTTGGGGGTTGTCATTGCTTGACAGCCATTGCTTGTGCTAGAAATTAGAATTACTTGCTCTTAATTGTTGCGATTGAATATTTATTTTTGAATAAATTAGCGTATTGTGCTTTGTGCTAAAATTGTCGTGAAATTTCATTTGATTGGATATACTTATTTTGTTGCATCGTAAATTCCGCTGTGTTGTTACTTTCGTTAGAATACCTAGACCTTACCCGTTCAAACGTTCCCTTGATCGAAGACCACGAGTCTTACGAAATCTTGGGAATCTAGAACAGTGTATATTACGGCCGTAGGATTACTTTGTGTGATCTATTTGCCTAATTGATTGTTTCGCTTTTCAAAAATGTCTTCACATTTCGAAATTGGTATTTTCAATGGAAAATGTGATTTTTCAATCTGGCAACAAAAAATGAAGGGTATTTTAGTCCAACAAAAGGCTCCAAAAGCCATTGAAGACAATTTTTCAGCTAATTTTTCAAAAGAACAAAAAGAAGAAGCCGATGAGCTTGCTTATACCTCAATCATTTTACATTTGTCTAACGTTGTTTTGAGAAAAGTAGAAAAATTGAAAACCACAAAAGATCTTTGAAAAAAGTTGGAAGATCTATATTTGCTTAAATCCACTCCCAATAAACTTTATCTTCTTGAGCGCTTCTTCAGTTTTAAAATGGATCTTTCAAATGATCTTGATGATTTAGATGTTTTCAATAAACTTGTCCAAAATATTGTTAACTGTAAAGAAACCGTATTTGAAACCTACAAGGCTATAATCTTGCTTAATTTTATGTCTGAGTCATATAAAGAAGTTAAAAATGTCATTAAGTATGGTAGGGATACATTGACTCCCGAGATTGTCGTAGACTCGCTTAGGAGTAAGGGGATGGAAATGAAGGTTGAAAATGAAGATAAGAGGAGTGGTGAGTTACACATGATAAGGAGTGGGATGAAATTTAAGAAAATGAATTTGGGTAGAGTTCAAAATAGCGGTGATTCGAGTAGTGACTTGAGTGATGAAGGTGGTAGATGAAGGGCAAGGAACGAGACAAGTCTGGTGGTAGACGATGTTACAGTTGTGGTAAGTCTGGACACTTTATTAGAGATTATCCCAAGAAGAAGGATAAGCATAAGGGTTATGTGAGAGGTGAGACGAATGTGGTTGAGGGGTCGAGTTATGACCCCAGTGAGGTTTATTGAGAGAGTAAATCTAGTCACTGCGTATGCATCTGTGTGTGATTCTTTCAGCATGTGTGTGATTGCCTAATTTGTTGCATGACTATATGTTGCATTTCAATTTGTTTGATATGTGTGTTTGCATGA